TCAGAATAGGATCAGATCGTGTTATACATATGTTTAATATGATTTGGAAGATTATATTGAATAAAAATGGATTATCGATTGTCTTGAATGCATAAATTTACTAGATTACGAATTAAGAATTGAATTAAATGGCAATAGGGGGATTCACAATTCTAATAAAAACATTGACATATTAAATAAATACTTTATTTGTTTTGTTAGATTATGATTAATATAGATTACATACAAATAAGCTCTTTTTGATATTAACATGCTTCGAATTTAATAGTAGCTATTGAACTACAAATTAGACCTTATTCCTCGTGGAAACGATACTCTTAACTCACAAATTTTATTACTTGTACAACGATTCCGTATGTTTGCGGGTTTCACGCGAACATACTGTAATGTCTTTTCTACCGTTCTATTATTATGAACTAATCATCTTCCTCTTTGATTTAACAGTCAAATTTATGAAGAACTCAACAAATAGAGGTGTAAAAAATATCACGAGATTAAACGATATTATTTTGTAAGAGTTAAGATTGAACATGTTAGAATTAATGTAACGTTGTTGTAATATTAAAAAAAAATTAATTATTGTACGAAATCTGAAAACTGAACTGAATCGAATAGAACCGCACTTGAATGGTTCCATAATTAAATTTGGATACGATGGTTCCATTTACGAAATACCTAAAAATTCAAAACCGAACAGAATCGGAACAATGGTCTTAACAGAATCTGATGAAGTTGGAAGAACAGCAACCAATATCTGAACCTAACCCAGACTAAAACCTGCATTAGATTTGAACTTGCGTGTTGAAGCTCTCTTTAATATGATATTTGTCCCCACTACCGGTGATTCACATGGGAAAGCAAAACACCTCAAGGATACAATGGAACTGACAATTTTTTTTTTTTTATTATTTTTTTTTTTTGGCGTCGTGCTCTAATTAAAATAACCCCAAACGCAAAGGAGGGAAGAAGCCACCATTAGGGAGGCTCGTATTTTGTATTTCGGCATTAACAAAGTTCAAATAAACTTGTTAAAGAAATGAAATTGGAGAATACAAGAAAATAGTTTACAAAGGAAGATAAAAATGGAGATTTCAATCTTGATTAGTTATTTTTAATTGAATCAAAGAACCTAAAACTCGGTAATTTAATCTTTCTAAATCACTATATCACAGAAAAATGATGGAGCATATAGGAATCATCAAAGTACTTTATTCATTGTTATTTGTATCTTCTCTGTGCCCGAACTGACTTCGATATCTGCTTCTGGGGAGACCAGATCTTTTCAAGTTTAATCAAGGCCTTATAGACGACTATGACTTTCTCGTGCTGTAGAAGTGATGAAGATAAAATTGAACGCAGCAAATGGAAGGATGTGGCATGTAGCAACATAACTGGTCATGGGAGTATTTCTTATTATCATCCCTTGACAGGTAAGATCATCCCTGCATTGCTTGAGATGCAGCATTTGAATTACCTGGACGGGAAATGATTTCGGAGGAAGTTGTCAAATACCAAATTCATTGGTTCCTTCAAGAAATTAAGACATTTGAAACTTCAGTATGAACTTCAAAACGTTACCAACCTGCAGAATCTTGAAATTCTTGGATTTGCTTGTCCATACGGTCACCGAGAGTCAAGAACCTTGAATTGCTTTCTCATTGTTCTCCAGATCTTGACTTGATAGATATTAACCTTAAAGAGACCAACTGGCTACAGCAGATAACAAAGCTCCCTTTCCTCAAAAAATTGCTTTTAAAAGAAAAGCCACATTCTCTCAACTTTAATTAAAAAAGAACTAAAAAAAAACTGTACCCATTTGTAGCACCACTAGTGCTACATAGTACATAGCATTACTCAATTAACAACAGTTCTCTTATATTAGCATGATTATGTGATGTTCTGCAAAGTTATCATTCTGTTGAACCTTCTCTATCTGGCTTCTATATCAGTCATACTCACTGTATTTGAATTTGACTCTGGTTTACAAGTTTCTTCATTATTGTAATTCCCTCCCATGAAAAATCCAGGTTCTTTGGGATCAGGCAAATTTGATCCCTCCTGATCACTTCCTAACATAAAAAGCACAGAGGACATAAATGGCCTGTCTTCTGTGTGTTTCTGAACGCATAATAAGCCCACGTGTATGCATCTCTTCACTTGAGATTCAACATATGAATCTTTCAAACATTCATCCATTAGTTCCAAAGCCTTGTCTTCTTTCCAAAGGAGCCATATCTATGGAAATTGATCGAATTAGAAGAGTTTTGTTGCTCGCAAGAAAACCAGTAGAGATGCACTATAAAGTACCAAAAGCTGCGAATAAAAGTAAAACTCAATTTGCTTGCACTACTTACGTGTCCCAGAAGGCTATCAGAGTGATCCATGTATTTGAAACTTCTGTTCTTTTTTCCACTCACTATCTCTAACAAAACAACGCCCATGCTGAAGACATCTGATTTTACTGAGAACTTCCCATCAAAGGCATACTCGGGAGCCATATAGCCACTGTATAAAGTTATTAGTCAATGGTCATAAGAAGTTGTACAAACAATTATATTTTGGACCAATGTTAACGAGATACTGAAACTTACTATGTCCCAATAACTCTTTTTGTTCTTGTTATGTCGTGACCCCCTCCGACAATTCTTGCCAAGCCAAAGTCTGCAATTTTTGGATTTAGATATTCGTCTAGCAAAATGTTGCTTGTTTTGAGATCCCTGTGGATAATCTTTAACCTGGAGTCATGGTGAAGATAGAGAAATCCCCTAGCAATCCCCATGATAATGTCAAAACGCTTGGGCCATGACAATATTGTCCTTTTATCTTGATCTGTGCGGAATTGCAGAGTTTGTAAGTGTTAAAACTACATGTTTGATCCCTTGGATCAAGCATATTAATTTACAGAACATATTATTAGATAAAGAGGGTTTCTTAGGTCACACCAAAAATAAAATTATCCAAGCTTTTGTTCTGCATGTACTCATAGATTAACATTCTTTCATCTCCTTTAGTGCAACATCCCAATAATCTGACAAGGTTTGTGTGTTGGAGTTTGGCAATCGAATTCACTTCATTCTTGAATTCTTCAATACCTTGTCTGGATGTTTTGGACAGTCTTTTTACTGCTACTCCTTGTCCATCTGATAACCAACCCTTAATATGCAATATAAGATATAAATGTTAACGGGATATATCGTACAAAGAAAAAACCACATCTGTTTTCGCTAGAGAAATTACCCTGTAAACAGGACCAAAACCACCTTCACCTATCATGTTTTCACTGGAGAAATTATCCGTGGCAGCAGCTACAGTTGCCAGACAAAAAGAAGGTAATTCTAGGCCTTCATTTTTCCTTTCTTCTCCTATAAAACAAATCATTGCCTTAGGGCTTTAATGCATGCTTACTGTGATTTATGTATTCTTAAGCACTTTGCTGAACTTGTGATGAAACTTTTATGAGAAGTACAGAGGAAAAGTATCATTACCTTTACTTGTTAGCCTTCTCTTTAGAAGCATGCCCCAGCAGATTAAACCAGAGATAAGCACTCTGACAGCAGTCAATATGAATATTATCTTTGCGGGCCTTTTCTTCTTCTTCTCACCTAAAACATTGTTAGATTCTCAACAAAAAAGAGCAGCTGATGTAACTATTCTCCACATGCATCCTGTTTTAATTAAATGGTTATCTATAGTTTCTGGCTTTCAGATATAAATTACAAGAAATAACATTGGTTGATTTTTCTCTCGTGTTCCCCTTACGAATCTTCATGATAAAATTTGGTTGCTTAATGCGATGCTGGCTCCTAGAAGTTAATATAACTGACATAGCGAAGGATCTCAACTCTGTTCTATGTTGGACACTCCTTACCCACAGGTAAAACGAGTTATCTCAATTTCAACTGGCAAAAAGCTCCAAGTTAATTATGGATACTTAAGAGTGTGTCTGTTGATGTATATGGACATTCTATTCTTACCTTGATCACTATGAAGTAAAATATTAGTTCAAGTTTACGAGTCTCACATGATCATATTTGTAGAACCTAGACCGGACCAGGTGGCCCAACCAGGAGATGACTTGTCTTGCAAACTAGTCCAAGCGGGTCTACTTGTCCTGATCTCATGTGAACCAGTCAACCTCGGTGCATTGGCCGGATTAATGATTGAGCTGTGCATGATTAGTATACATGATCCACTAGAGAATATGACCTAAATTTTGTATACTACGGAGAAAGTGGCGTATTCGTGTAACATGCTATGGTCTCGACACCCTTACGAGGTAGTGATGAGCTTCATACACTCTAATCCTTGCCCACGTGCGACTAGGAAGACTGGCCGCAATCTGAGTGGTACCACCCACCCCACCCTACCAGGCTACCACTACAGCCACCCGAAAAGGAACTGCAGTGATCTTTAATAGGAATCTTATGGTTATGAATAGAATCCCCATAAAAATACCAATCCCATTTTACCGTTTCTAAATTCTCTACATTCAAGAGTGATTACGGGTAGACTTACCTAGTTCTGAAGCTGGCAAACGAATGTAGATGTTCACTTCGCTATCTGCTCCAGGAGGCTCTCTAATATCAATCAAATCCCCAAACCACATCAAGCATCCACTGACTCCAGTTATAAAAGGGGTAGCAAAAGCTGTACAGGAACAGCTTTTGGAACACTGAGCTTGACATTCTTTGAAACTCATACTAGTATTCAATTGAAACTGCAACCTATCAGGAAAGTTAGCTCCCACCTTTAGAAACCCATCTCCTTTCTGGCAATTTATTGGCGTAATTCTAACACATCCACCGGACCAATCTTGGAGGTCCCATCCCTTTTGAGATCTCGGGGCGAACCCCTTCAGACACTCGCATATTGGTACCTGACCAATTCTGCAGATACCATTAGGACCACACCGAGCATAATTGTCACACGAATCGCGTGGAAACGTGTGAACAAGATTCCACCCATTTTTGCTCTCATTCATAGTATAGCGATGAAGAAAGCCTGATTTGTCTAAAGTTAATCTCGTGATTAATGAGCTGTTATCATAGAGTGAAATCCTGTCTTTATTGAATACCAAAATTGGTTTAAAAGGTGTAGTGAGAATGAAAGGGAGATTGCTGGAGTAATGCCCATTCCATGGGCAGCGGCGGCTTCTTTTTATCGTCCCGTGGTAGACAACCATTTCAACTATGCCACCGTTATATTCAATCCTGTCGGAAAAATCTCCAATGGATGGATCGTGAGAACTTCTCCAAGATGTCAAATATTTATCTTGACCGGATCCAAGGTAATCTACTATCTCCATTCCTGGTAATCTGGTATCACACGGGTAATCAAAACTCTGCCACATGTAGTTTTGTTGAGAAGCTGGGTTCATAATTACAAGGTTTCCCGTGTTCAAGAGGCGTACAACTGGAGTCGATGCAACACTTGACAAATTTGATGACCAGATAATGGTTTTGCCTCTCTTAACAAGTAAAGTTCCATTTCTGGCTATTGACAAGATTCCTTGCGAGTCTATAATGGGATTATTTCTATTTGCAACCCAAACAACAACATCCGGTGTAGTTTTGTACCATATACCTAAGAACCTGTTATTGGAGTTACCAGGGGAGAAGAATCCCAGCTCGAATATTTCTCCCTCAGAAACTAAAATCTGCCCGTCGCGAATGGTTTGGTTTGCAGAAAGTGTATCTGCTGCAACAGACAATTTTAGATACGTTAAAGAATAGATAAGAGCAACTGTAAGTTGTGATTGCAGCATCTTTTTGGATCAGGAATGAAGAAGTTGCGAGTTCCAATCTGAATCTCACGTAAATTCATCATTTCTTTTCATTCTGGAGTTAATTATCGTGTAACACGTGTAGATGACTTTGGTGGTCTTTGGGTCCTGTTTGGCACTTATACTCATGTTTTTGTTTTTGCTTCTTGTATAAGAATTTTATGAAAAAAACTACTTTAATGGCTTAATTAGTGTTTGGAAATTAATTTCTTGTCAAACAGACCTTAACCATCTCCATGACTAACATTTTTTGGTTTCCTCCAAACATTTTTTGGTTTCCTCCAAGTCCAAGTTCATATCTAATAAGAAATGATAAAATAATTCAAAATCCCAAAAATCGACCTAGTTTAAAGTGGGAACGTTGAAAAATCTGCATACCAGTTGAATTATACACACATCACCTTTCCTTTCCTTTTCCATTATATTTAATTTTTCTTTTCCTTTCCTTTTCCGTTATATTTAATTTTTCAATTACCTTTTTGTTTTAACAGTTAAAAAGGTACCATCGTTTATTCAACAAAATTTGACGTTTAATAACAAATTTGACAAAACCCTTCTACTGAAATTACTAGAATTACAAAAGCTAAAAAGTTTGAATCGAATGATCAGTGGTGAACTCGTTGTGGAGCCGATAGGCTACTTTAAAATAAGACTTTCTTGTACGTAGAAAGCAGGTTTTGGTTTAGATTGAAATTTAGAGATAATATTTTTTATCTACCTTAATTTTTTATTTAAAACTAATTTCTAAAAGACTTTCTATTTTGGAAGTGTTTTTAGAGAAATTCGCATTAGATTAATTTTCTCTAAAAATTCTTCTAATTAGAAAATCATTTTTATAAAATTAGTCAGACGGGTCTAAAAATAACTTTTGGGTTATGAAAGCTCAACTAGACTGATCAAAAGTCATGTCTAACAAGCTCTTAATTCTACCTTTTATTAAATCTATCATATAGTGTTATCTGCATTGATAATGTAGTATCGGTAGTGCTAGATAGTATTATCTTTTATTAGAAAAAAAAAATGTCAAATTTCCGGTTTAGCCTAAGATATATAAAAGGAAATTGGAAGGAATAGCCAATTTAAACTTCCAATTTTGAAATATGACCAACTTTAATATCTTTAGGGGTCAATGGCCAAAAGTGTAAAACTAGACGAAAATGTCCCTAATAACATCCTACGGGCCATACCAACCAACAGTCCAAATCAAACAAAGTGTTGCTTCTCCGCCCACTAGCCTTCTTCCAGCCCATTGTCAGATCGTTCATCTTATTCCCAACAAGCCAAGTTTATTTGTGTCGGTAATTGCAGTACATTAGATATTTAACCTGTGTTTTGTTCAGCACGTGTAGTTAAACAACCTTGGGACGATGATAAATCGACTAATGCTTATTAGTTGAAGAAAAAAATAGACCCGCACATCACTCACCTAAACATCTATTGACCCGGCCCGAAAAATAGAAATTGTCTTTTTGAGGCTTATGAAAACTGGATTAACTGAAAGGATCGTGTACCTTGGATCATGATGAAATTGAATGGTTGAAATTTATTATATATATATATAAGTGTGAAACGCTAATTTCATACTGTTCTCTCATTTGTCACGCTCTTCAAAAAAACACCACCACCTCTCTCTTTAATCTCTCTTACGTGGTTTCTTCTTTGCTCAAGATTTTCTTCTTGCTTATTGCACTATGGTTTTGTGATAAGAATCTTGGAGATTCTTTCTTGTTTTTGTTGAATGAGTTTTTTTTTTTTATTTTGTCTTCGTGGTCCCAAAGGCACTGCTTTTAGTGTTGGATTCGGATTTGAGTAGGAGTGTTGAAGGGTGTTTAGATGTTAGACGTGGATAAAATTGAGCCATAATCAGCGTAGATACATCCTTGATGTCGAATTGCACATTTCTATAGATTGGATCGATATAGTGTTGATTCTTGAGTGAATTTTCGTAAGTGATGGATAAAAATCTTACAAGTTCTTTATATTTTGATTATATCTGAGAGCATTGTTGTTTATTGGTGATTAGCAAAGTTTATATTTTTATCTTTCCTAGTCTCCATTGGAAGATTATTGGGTACTGTCTTCATTTTGCGAGCCGAGGTTGTGGTATCTTGATTTTGTTATTGGAGCTGGCGGTTATTTAATGTTATATAATTGAAGTGCGACGATTTGTGATGATTTTGCATTCGTCTAGTCTTGTTTGAGACGTGTCGAGGTATGATGATGTTTACATGTCAAGAAGAGAACTGTAGGACATTATTTTGTTTGGAAAACTGGCATACCACAAAGTTTTGGAGGGTCTTTGTAAATCATGAATTTGAAGATAACAGTCGAAAAAAATTGTTGATGTTCAGTGTTATAGATTTTGGGATAGTCATACTTTAAAATTTCATCGTGGGATTGTAATGGGAGTCATAACACACCACCACGATTTGCGATCTCACACCCACATCAAACTGGCTTTGCACTAGTCCATGACTAGTCATAACGAACATTGTTGTGTTGGTGTCACCATCCATGTTGTTCAATTGCAACCGAAGATGTGATGTCTACTCTAATACCATTGTTATATATATCCCCGAGTCTATATAAATCATATATTGAAAGTCCTATATTTTCGATGTAGGATCCAAATCTTATACCTTGCAATGAAAACCATAATAGACATCCACGCTTTGCCATCTCGCACCCATGTCGGATTGGTTTTGCACTAGCTCATGACTAGTCTATAACGAACACTACGATGTCAATATTTCTATCTGCATCGCTTGATTGCAATCTTCCGAAGCCTATATAAATCACATACCAAAATCCTATACTTTCGAAGGATCCAAATCCTATATTGTTGTGGAATTGATCTTCAATTTGTGGAATCCGAAATCAGTTTCAACCAACCAATATCAAACACAATCAAACAAAAACTCCAACCCACAACTATGTATTCACTTATAGTTGCTTTCTTCCTTTCTCACCCACAAAAGGATAGGGTTATGGTGATAATTTGCAAACCACAAAGGCAAAGAGAACAAAACAAAGAAGCCAAGACGCCAAGCACAAAGCACAGCCCCCGTTTTTTTTTCTCTCAAAAAGGGCAAAGCACATATGTTTCTCTCATTTGCACAATCACACACCCACACACAAAAAAGCTGGAAAGAGGTAGATATATATAGCATTAGTTAGGTCGCTCCAAAAGTGGCGGAGCCAGCACCCGGTGAGGGGGTACGATCGCCCGTGCTGGCTTCGCAGGAGTCACTATCGTCGGTTGAGAGACTCGGGCACTTTAGAAAAATTGAAATTTTCTTAAATGCAAACCTAGGTTGAAGATGAAAGCAAAGTTGTTGGGCCTTTTTTTGTCTTTAATTGTGATTGTGTAGGCCTTTTTTGGTCATTGGGCCTTGTTGTTTTTTTAAAAAAAAAAGGGGCCCAAATGCCTATTCTTATAAGAAATCACTTTGTATTGAATCAGACTCCCAAATGAATTTCAATTGCAATGAAAAACGAAACATGCAATGCAATTGTGCAAACCCTATTTGCAATCTCTATTCTCAAAATCTCAATCCCTCCCTTGAAGTCTCGCACCCAGCCCCTGCCACGTGATGGTGAGACCTGTTGCCGGCCATTGATATGTTGCCTCTCCACCTCGGATCTCTACCAATGGCCTTCGTTGTTGTGGGTCAGTGAGAGTTTAGTTCATTTTTTTATTTATTATTTATGATTTATTCTTTATAAGTTATGGATGTGCTTGCGAGCATGTTGAATGTGAGGATTTTGATTTTTGTAAATTTGAGGCTGTTGGAACATTCCAACATGTGGGGACCACACATGTATATATATTAAAATGTGTAATGCTATTTTAAAAGTTTAGTCAATAAAGTGATCTATTAAAATCAATTTTGTACTAGTGGGTATTCAATATCATGGGAATAAAGTGTCGAGACCAGAAAATTATTTTACATTGATGAGGGGCCAATTTAAAATAAGTGAAAGATAATAACTGCTCAATATAGTTATTATATCATCGGGTCATGGTTTCCGATTGAACGTGATTTTTCAATATCTCTGCATCCCCATCAACAGAGAAGAATTCTAGAGGAATTGCGTATCAATTGGAAAATCATAACCCGTATAATTCAAGCAATCAGATTCATTGATCAAGGAATGCTTCCACTTTTAATATTCTCATTGATTTCAACATGGAGTGCATGTGAAAAGGGTTTGATAAATTAGGGTTGTACACACACACACACACGTGTGTGTGTACATTGATCCATGTATCTGATTGCTTGAATTATACGGGTTATGATCTTCCAATTGATACGCAATTCCTCTATAATTCTTCTCTGTTGATGGGGATACAGAAATATTGAAAAATCACATTCAATTGGGAACCATAACCATATGATATAATAATTGTATTGAGCAATTATTATCTTTCATTTATTTTAAATTGGCACATCATCAATATAAAATAATTTTCTGATATCCACACTTTATTCACATGACATTTAATATTAATTTTTGATTATTTGATTTTTATTATAATTTCATTTAATATTTGAGCAATAAAATATTACGTGATTACGAATATTATTAGAAAATGTGTATATAAGTTGTGAAGTATAGATAGATTCAATTTATAAAGTGGTCAAAAATTGCGGTCTATAAATAAAGTTAAAAATATTATTTTTGTATGGTTTTATTATCTTTATTAAATTTTTTCTAGAATTTGATGATGATGATGATGCAAAAATAAAAGTTATCGACATTTAAACATTCTTGGGCGGATTATGAACATTAATTATCAATTCAAGTTGTTTGAGGTAACAAAGAGTGAGATTAATTTCATAATTGATATTTCATTACTTTGGGAATTAGAATGAACTAATTATGAACATATTTTTGTAACGTCCATCACCTATTTTTATAGGTACATCTTTAACAAATGTGTTTTTCTAATTAACGGGCAATTAATCTGACCTCATTAG